TATATATATATATATCCATATATATTAAAAAACACATTATTGGTATTCAAATGGAGCATTACCGGGTGCGAGGGGTTAATATCGTAGAGCATGGGGTGCGGCGTGCCTCGTAATATTGTTTGTACTTCGTTTTGTCCGTGAGTGATTGGTGCCGGCATGTCGATATCCTATACTACTATATCGATTTATTTTTTTCCTCCAATTTTTCTCTATTTGTCTTCTATTTCTTTCTTTTTTTTGTTTTTATTTTATTACCCTTTTTTTGTCTATTTTTCCTCATTTCTCATTTCTTTCTGTTTCGCATTTTTTTTTGTTCTATCTGACAGAAAAAAATTACGAACGAACAAACAAAACAAACAAAAATAATAGACGAACGATGACATTTCAAAACAAACGAAATAAATAACCTAAAAAAAAAAAAAAAAAGAAAAATATTTTGTTAATTTAATTATTTTTTCCCCCCCCTCCCCGTTTTTAATTTACTATTTTAATTTACAGGACAGCGGAAACTAATTATCTTAATGACTGTTTTGTTTTATCATATTATTTCAGGCATTTTCATATTTTTCCAATCAAATTTTGTTCATTCATATTTATATGCATATTATATTTATTATTATATATTTGTATCGATTTTTTTGTTTATTAATTACTGAGTTTTTCCCAAAACCCTTTAATAATTATTTGGCCTCCCCCCCTTATTCACCCCACCTTTCCTGTGTATGAAAGCGTGAGTATGACGAGAACGAATGATTGTAAGTGTGCTGCATGTTAGCCATAAAGTGCACAATCTAATTGTAGCTTGGGTTACAGTGCCAGGAGATCCTCAAAACGTCAAAGTGACGTCGATCAATTCGACGGCGATACACGTCAAATGGGATCCACCTAAGGCTAAGGACCAAAATGGGGTAATCAGGGGCTACCACATACATGTACAAGAAGTACGAGAAGAAGTACGTATTTTCTGTTAATTAATAATTGTCAAAATAATTCTATATAAGTATATACAAAAATAATTACTTTAAAAATCTATTAATAATAATATTAAGTTATAAACAAATTTGTTTAAATATATTAATTTATAAATAATTAAAAAAGATCTATGCAGGATATATTCCAATTTATATATATAACTTTTTTTCTTTTTTCTTATTTTTACTTTATAAAAATATGTTTATAAAAAATATTCGTATTTTAAAAAATGAATATTATATTTTATTAAATAAATGTAATTTAATACAGTATTTTTTGGATAAGAATGAATATATGTTACGTAAAATAATACAATATATTGCATAAGAGATAAAACGGAATATTAAAAAAAAAGATAAGTAGCGGACGATATTTAAGGAGAAAATTATGTTAAAGAATAATTTGTGTGTAAATTTTATCAGGGAAGAGACGATGTGTTTAACGAACCGATACGTCGGGACGTCCAAGAGGACAATGTACGAGAAATAAATATCACAGGACTGCAACCGGATACAAGGTACTCTGTACAGATAGCCGCGTTGACGAGAAAAGGAGACGGTGATCGATCGGCACCGGTTCACGTTAAAACACCAGGCGGGGTACCAAACAGACCGCAAGTTAATATAAAGTAAAGGATCTTTTTCTATATTATATTTTTTTCGAATAAAATAACGAAACACTTTCTTTCTTTCTTTTTGTTATTTATGTTCTTTTATTTCTTTTATTTAGAGTCATTGGTAGAGATCCCGTGATGCTCGAATTAGAATGGATGGAACCAAGCCAAACATACGGCGATCTATTGGGTTATAGAATTCGTTATGGTATTAAAAATCAAACCCTTAAAAAGGAATTCATTCGTGGAACTCGTCAGCACATTTACAAGGTCACCGATCTCGGTAAGGTCAACTCATTTTTTCTTATGTTAATTTATATATCGTTAGAAAAAGATTAAGAATATATCGCGAATAATATTTTCGTTTGAAGAAGAACGCGGCGTCGAATACGAATTTCGAGTTGCTGGTCAAAATAGTATAGGATATGGGCAAGAAACTGTACAATATTGGTCCAGTCCTGAGGGAGAACCTAGTGGATCACCAACCAATTTGTCTTACTTTTTCCAAACACCTGACACCCTTTGTGTCACTTGGGACAAACCATTGAGACAACATCGAAACGGTCAGATCATTGGTTACGATGTGCAGTTCAATAAAAAGAACGATCATTCCTCCATTATAGAAAGGAATACGACGAAAACTCGTGCGGTTTTTTCGAATTTGGAAGAAGACACGGAATACGTTTTTCACGTTAGAGCAAGAACTGTGAGAGGTAGTGGTCCATATTCGGAGAAAATTACTATAATAACGGAGAAGGATATCGGTAGAGCACCGATGTTAGTTAAGGCCGTGGCAACTTCTGAATCGAGTGTTGAAGTTTGGTGGGAACCTGTACCTAATCGTGGCAAGATCGTTGGTTATCAAGTTTTCTATACTACAACACCAGTTGAGGATCTTGACGAATGGAAACAAAAGACCGTTGGTTTGACCGAATCTACGGACCTGGTCAATCTCGAGAAGTTCACTCAATATGCCATAACCGTAGCGGCGAGATACAAAACTGGTCTCGGTAGAATCAGCCAAAAGATCACGGTAACTGTTAAACCAGAAGATGTGCCTTTAAATCTCAGAGCACCGGAGTCGTCAACTCACTCGATGACGTTATCTTGGACACCGCCTATAAGACTGAATCCCACGAATTACAAGGTGTCCTTTGACGCCGTTAAAGAGTTCGTCGACTCTCAAGGTATAACGCAAACGCAGATCGTACCACGTCGACAAATCCTCTTCGATCCTAGCGTTACCAGTACAACCATTAACGAGCTTCAACCATTCACTACATATAACGTTAATGTTAGTGCCGTGCCACGAGATGGACAATATAGACCACCAGCTAAAATCACCGTCACCACACAAATGGCTGCTCCGAAACCTATGGTTAAACCAGACTTTTATGGGGTCGTCAATGGCGAAGAGATTCAAGTGATCCTACCTCAGGCGTCCGAAGAGTATGGGCCAATTTCTCACTATTATTTGATCGTCGTACCTGAAGATAAATCAACGGCTGACAAACAACCCGATGAACTTACGGAAGATATGATTACGGGAAAGGGTACTAAACAGGAACGAGAGAACGCACCTTACATCGCTGCTAAATTCCCTCATAGAGACATTCCTTATACCTTCCATTTAGGAAGTGGTGATTTATACGAGGGATATGAAAACAGAAAGTTAGAAAGGAATAAGAGATATAGAATTTTTGTACGTGCCGTGGTTGACACTCCTAGAAAGGTCAGTAATATACTTTGTGATTCTATTTCATAAGAAACATAATCTTACTCAATAGTAGACGACCTAATGAAAACAATTTACTTTTCAGCATCTCTACACTTCCTCACCTTTCTCCGAGTATCTTTCATTGGATATGAGAGAAGTTCCACCAGGCGAACCTCCACGTCGACCAAATCCAAATACTCCAGTCGATGGAAATCCTGAAGTGTCTGTTAAAACCAGTGGACAAGAACCTGGAATGGTTTGGGTAGTTGGTCCTATAATAGCAGCACTTATGGTCAGCATCTGTTTGATTCTAGTATTTTTTATAAGAAAGTAAGTCCTAAATCAGAAATTTTTCCACTTGTTTCTAATTAGTACAAATATTTACGTAACAGAACATTAATATTTACACTTCAAAAAAATTAACAAAAATATCACTTAATTCCTATTTCAGACGAAGGCGACCGTGCAAGGCACCAGATCAGGCAGCAGTAACTCGACCACTTATGGCAGCAGATATCAGTTCAAATCATGCACCATCCGATCCAGTAGAGATGAGACGTTTGAATTTCCAAACTCCCGGCATGATATCGCATCCACCGATACCCATAAGCGAATTGGGTAATCATATCGATCGATTGAAAGCAAACGACAATCTAAAGTTCAGTCAAGAATACGAGTCTATTGAACCCGGTCAGCAGTTCACTTGGGACCACTCGAACATGGAAGTAAACGCATCAAAGAATCGTTATGCCAACGTGATAGCCTACGATCATTCTCGAGTGATCCTTCAAACGGTCGATGGGATGCCTGGGTCCGATTATATAAACGCGAACTATTGCGATGGTTATAGAAAGCAGAACGCATACGTGGCAACTCAAGGACCACTTCAAGAGACCTTCGGTGATTTCTGGCGAATGTGTTGGGAACTTCGCACGAGTACAATCGTTATGATGACGAAACTGGAAGAAAGGACTAGAATAAAGTGTGATCAGTATTGGCCAACAAGAGGTTCGGAAACTTATAGCCAGATGACAGTCACCATTACCGATATCCAAGAACTAGCTACCTATTGTATTCGGACTTTCCAAGTTTGTAGAGCAGGTTATTCGGAGAGACGTGAGATCAAACAATTGCAATTCACAGCATGGCCTGATCACGGAGTACCGGAACACCCAGCACCATTTTTACAATTTTTACGAAGAGTTAGATCGTTAAACGTACCGGACAGCGGCCCATTAGTGGTACATTGTAGCGCTGGCGTTGGCAGGACCGGTTGTTTCATCGTTATAGATTCTATGCTGGAACGTATCAAGCACGAAAAAATGATTGACATATATGGACATGTGACGTGTCTACGTGCTCAAAGAAACTATATGGTACAGACCGAAGATCAGTACATCTTTATTCATGACGCACTTCTCGAAGCGGTAATATGCGGCAATACCGAGGTACCAGCTAGGAATTTACACTCTCACATTCAAAAGCTCATGCAACCTGAAATCGATAATATAACTGGCATGGAATTGGAATTTAAGAAATTGTCTAACATCAAAGCTGATTCCACGAGATTCATATCAGCCAATTTGCCATGCAACAAACATAAAAATCGATTGGTCCATATCCTACCTTATGAATGTAGCAGAGTATGTTTACAACCGCAACGTAACATCGAAGGATCGGATTACATAAACGCGAGTTTAATCGATGGTTACAGATATCGTGGTGCTTATATTGCAACCCAGGGTCCACTTTGTGACACCACAGACGACTTTTGGCGTATGCTATGGGAGCATAATTCAACGATCGTGGTTATGCTGACAAAGCTCAAAGAAATGGGTAGAGAAAAATGCCATCAATATTGGCCCTCCGACAGATCGATTCGTTATCAATGCTTCGTCGTAGATCCTATTGCCGAATACAATATGCCGCAATACATTTTACGCGAATTCAAAGTTACTGATGCACGAGATGGAGCAAGTCGTACGGTTAGACAATTCCAATTTATTGACTGGCCGGAACAAGGTGTACCCAAGTCCGGCGATGGTTTTATCGATTTTATCGGTCAAGTTCATAAAACCAAGGAACAATTTGGTCAAGATGGACCTATCACTGTACATTGTAGCGCCGGTGTAGGTAGAACGGGTGTATTCATAACGCTTAGCATCGTCCTTGAACGTATGCAATACGAAGGTGTAGTAGATATCTTCCAAACAGTAAGAATATTACGTACGCAACGTCCTGCCATGGTACAAACGGAAGTAAGTTGATTTCTCCGATTTAATTTTACGCGTCTATTTATTTGATTAGTAGTTTTAAACATTTTTTACATAACATTTATTTCAAATGTTTCGAAATACTAATTCAATAAAATATATCAGCTGTAATGTTCTTACAATTCTTATTAATGTCTTGTCATTTATTTCATTTTCAGGATCAATATCAATTCTGTTATCGTGCCAGTTTGGAATACTTAGGATCATTTGATCATTACGCCAACTGACAAGCCGATAATCGGGAGCAAAGAGAAGCAGCTACGAGAGATCGAAGGGAACGACAAAAGAATGAAAGAGATATCGGAGAAAGGGCTAAAGTACGACGTGTTTAGTACAATGGAATACATATATCGTGTTAAGTGTGCAGCAGGAGAGTAAAAAAAAAGCGTAGTTTTTATGCGTAACATTACTCGTACCTTCCTCAAGGGCAATTGTCTCATAGTCGCTAAGCGATAATTATTCGCTTATGTATCACAGACGGTTTAAACAAAAAAAAAAAAAAGGGAAAACAATAAAAAATTTAAAAAAAGAAATAAATAAAAAAGAAAAATAATAATAATAATAAAAATAATAATAATATTAATAATAATATTAATAATAATATTAATAATAATAATAATAATAATAATAATAATAATAATGGTAGACGATGAAGTGCAATAGTTGAAAAATGGTGTTGCAGCACACATAATCGCGCAGGAAATTTTCATTCTTGAC